CAGCTCGGGTATTGCCGCGCAAGATGTCTTGTAGGTGGTAGGTTGAGAATTATAGCGGGTGACTTCGTGTTCAGAAACGCTATAGTCTCCGAACCAGTTCACCTTATCATTTGGTGAATCTTACCAATTTGTAATTCTTGCGAGGCAGGCCGAATTTGCGAAGAGAGCGAAATTAGGCGACAAAGTTGTATAAGCTTAGAGATCCATTTGATTAAATTAAATTTTCTTTAGTGTTCCGAAATACATACGAACGATTGAACGCGGCCTGAACAGGCCATATTAGTCTTATGCATTAGTGTTACCATGTAAGTTAATTGTAAATAAAACAATATGAATTGATTGCCTTACAGGAATGTGTCGTTAATCATTTCGGATGCGAGACGGACGGACGGACATAGCATTGGGGGTTAGGATGGGAAACGGGCCGTGAACCGGAGAGTTACATACTATCCAGGGGAGAGGGTGTCGGACGGAAATGGGGGGTAGAGGGGAATGACTGGGCGGAAGCGTGATGGCCCCTGAGGATAATGTAGGTGGGTACAGAATTTTTTGTATGGTGCGGATGGCATGTCAAGTGCGGTATCGAGATTTGGAGCAAATCGACGGTTTTTGGTTTCCCGTTATCTTGTTTGGCTAAAGTGTGCTAAGCAATAGTGGCGGTGGACAAAATCCGTCGAAGGAGATTTGGGAAAAGTGTTATTCGTAGGTAGCAGGCTTCGCCGTAGAGAGAGCGGGCGATAGTACTCGAAAGATAGGGAATACAGGAGGGGTACGGTTCAGACAGCTTAGTTGGACAAGATGAATGTTGGCTGATTGTGTCTGCAACAGTACGACGAAATAGGCGGGAAGGAAACTGGCATGCACTAGCCCGATCGGATATGACAATTTAGCGGTCGGTAGTGGTGTGTTGAGATTGGTATTAAGGGGGTTGACATTTTAATTTGGACTGGAATTCTGACAGACGACGTTAGGAGGACGGTATCGCATCGGAGGATTAAAAGACACAGTTCGCATATCGACAAATTTATTTGATTTTTACACGTATATTTCGAGTTTTCCATAATTCACAGCTCAACTCTGTTTAGGAAATAGTTGCACAATTACTTAGGGGTTAAAGTGTCACAAACACTTTCAGAATATATATTTAAACATTTTTTTTTGCTCATCGTCGATGGAATTAAATAAAAAAAGTGTCGAACCCATCAAAAACAAGGGAAGGTCCAAGAAGCGATGCTCTGGGGGGCGCGTCCGGCGAGCATACAGAGGAGACGGCTTCAGCGGTGGAGAACCAAGGGGGACACAACGAGCGAGACCCACCATCGGAAGGTGGCGAGGCTGCTCGAGGACCCAAGGAGCCCGAAAGTTTACAAGGAGGAGCATTTTGCCCCAAGAGCACCGCTTTGGGTGCAATGGGGGAAGAGTTGCTACAAAAATTTGAACTCATGTTTGTGCAGCATCAATTGGACGTAATTCGCTCAACGACGGATGCTATAAAGGGCGTTGTCCAAACATTGCGGAAGGACATGAGTGGACTGGCAGAAAGGTTGGCGAGTTTAGAAGGTCGAGGTGCCCACGCACAATCTGAGCGGATTCACAGGGATTGACATACGGAAGAATACGCTCATGAGGGCAATTTGGTTGACGCGGAGCACAGTCCTGTGAAGTCCGGTTCGGAGGCTGGTTCTTCGTTGACGAAGGAACGGAAATGCGAGACGAGATTGTGCTACGAACGAGGAGCGACTAAGGCTATACGTGATTGGGGTCTCAAATTTGATGGGGCCGAAGGCGATTCCAATTGAACGGTTTCTCTTCAGAGTAGAGACACTCCGCACGAAACATAATGTGTCAACCAAAGACCTATATGCCAATTCCACCTATTGCTCGAAGGTCAAGCGCAAGAATGTTACTGGTGGTATACGGAGGAGCACTCCCAAGACATCGTAGCAGATTTTTATTCCTTTCGGTCAGTTATAGTGGAACATTTCCGTAGAGCAGACTGCGACGAAGAAATTCGTCAAGTAATCAACGAGCGGAAACAGGAGTTTAACGAAAAGTTCGAGGAGTTTTATGCGGCTGTTCGAGAAATGGAGTTAACCATGAATACCAGACTACCGGAGGGCAGCTTAGTTAACATCATTAGAAGAAATTTAAAACCAAGGATCAAGAACTTAATTTTTGGATGCCGCATACATGCAGAAAAACGTCTTTCCGATTTCGAGCCCAAGCCGTTTCGGAACAGAACTCTGGAAGGCGAGCCGGAGGGTGAAGCGCTGGAGGTGCTGGCGGCAATTTACGACTCAAAGAAGTCTGGTATTTCATTAAAAGACGTAGCCAAGGAGACGAAAGATCAAAGAGAGGGCCAGACGCCGAAAGTTGCTACGAACCTCCACTGCGATGGGAAACTTCACCGTATGGTTTGCCACAAGTGTAACCGTTCAAGCGTACAGTTGTGTGACAATTGGCAGGAAAAGCAGGACATTGGCAAGGGGACCGGGGAGCCTTGCCAGAAACTTCAGACCACGGAAAAGTAATACCACGAACGATTTTAGTACGCCCTCCTAATTCTAAGCCAGAGGTCAAAACTTCAACTATACTTTCACTGTAGGAAAGACAGAATCGATATGATGCAGTAAGAAACCGAATATTTGGGAAAGACACAGAAATAAGGGCGGGGTCAGTAGAAGCTCCCATAGGTAGAAACTGGCGGAAGATTTTAAAAGTGCGTGAGCGGGCGCGGGATAAGAAGAAAGAATTGAGGGCTATGGAGCAGACAGTCATACGAGATGCAGTAGACAAACGGCCTTACGTTCAAGTGGAGGTAGAGGGCGTACGAATGCAGGGCTTACTGGACAGCGGGGCGTCAATTAGCTGCTTTGGGTCGGTTGCTCAAATATGGGAACAAAAACTAGGAAACAAATTGCATACGGTAAAGAATAGTCTAAAGACAGCAGACGGGAAGTCGCAAGCGGTGAACTGTAAAGTCGTCGTCACAGTGTCTTGGAGGGGTAAAAGTAGGCCAATGACTCTTTACTTGGTACCAAGCCTGCAACAAGAGCTTTACCTGGGGATTGATTTTTGGGACACGTTCGGCATCGCTCCGGCGGCAGTCTCCGAGATTAGGCCGGATGAGGAAGGACAGATAGGTTTGCTGAATTTGGTCTCGGCAGAACTCATCTGATGGAGCACGTGATCAAAGTGTTCGACGACATCATCCCGATTAAGAAAAGGCATTATCCGATGTCACCGGTAAGGCAGAAACAGGCGTACGATGAAATCGACCGATTGTTGAAGCTAGACGTCATCGAAGAAAGCAACAGCTCGTGGAGCTCACCAATCGTGCTTGTGGAGAAGTTAGGTAAAAAGCGGCTGTGCGTGGATATGAGGAAGCTCAACGAGCGTACGAAGAAGGATGCGTATCCAACACAACACGTGGAGGGAATCCTAGCTCGCCTGCGAGAAACATACTATATTTCAGGAATCGATCTTAAGGATGCCTTCTGGCAGATCCCCTTCGAGCTCACCTCCAAGGAGAAGACGGCCTTAACGGTACCTGGGCGTCCGTTGTATCAGATCAAGGTCATGCCGTTTGGACTGTCCAACGTCAGTCAAGAAGTTATGCAGGCTCATAGATAAAGTAATCCCGTCTCGGCTAAGAGAGAACGTGCTCGTATACATCTATGACCTCCTGATTTGTTCTCCGGACTTCGAGTCCCACTTGAAGCACTTGGCGGAAGTCGCGGAGTGCCTCGCAGGCGCAGAACTTACGATCAACTTATAAAATCGAACTTTTGTCAAAAGGAGATTAATTATCTAGGGTTCATCGTTGGCCAAGGAGCGCTGAAAACGGATCCAGTGAAGATACAGCCCATTCTCGAGTTTCCTGTCCCAAAGACCACTAGGCAGCTACGCAGATTTCTGGGGATGTATGGCAGGTATAGAAGGTTTATACCAAGTTTCGCTGCCACTGTCGCCCCATGACAGATTGTCTGCGAAAGGGAAAATCGTTTGAAATGACGGAGGAAGCAATCGAGGCGTTCAAGGAACTGAAGGAGGCGCTTACTTCCACGGATGTATGGGTAAGCCCGGATTTCAGCAAGCACTTCTACATCCAGTGCGATGCGTCAACGCAAGGAATAGGGAGTGTCCTATTTCAGAAGGATGAAGAAGAGAATAAGAGACCCATCGCCTTCATGTCCCAGAAGCTTAACTCCGCCCAGCGCAATTACACCATTACCGAGCTGGAGTGCTTGGCTGCTGTCGTGAACGTCAAAAGGTTCCGCGCGTATGTCGAAGGGCTTCCATTCACGGTTATTACAGACCATATGAATCTCAAGTGGCTTATGGGACAGAAAGATTTGTCCGGACGCTTGGCCAGATGGAGCTTAAAATTGCAAAGCTTTGATTTCAGAATAGAACATCGGAAGGGGTCCTATAATGTCGTCCCAGGTTCGCTGAGTCGAATGCACAAGAAGGATTTGAGCGAAAGGGAATGATCAGGGGAGATTGACCTTTCTTCGCCGGAGTTCTCCAGTGATGCCTATGAGTCACTTAAACGACATGTAAGCGAAAATTCAGAACGATTACCAGATTTGCGGGTGGTGGATGGAAGAGTATTCAAAAGAGTGTGTTTCCGGCGGGCGAACGAGGGAGAAGAAGCAACGTGGAGATTGTGGGTACCGGAGGGCCTAAGGCAGCACCTCCTCGGCAGACTGCATTGCGATGTTTCGGCTGGGAATTAAGGAACGGCGAAAACCCTGTGGCGATTGCGAAATCATTTCTGTTGGCCAGGAATGGCAGGTGATGTGAGGAGCTTCGTGGCGGGATGCGAACCATGCCCGAACATAACCTCAAGACCTCAATTGGCAGATACGTTTGGGTCCGAAAGAGTTTTCCAGCGTCTTTACATAGATTTCTGCGGGCCTTATCCCCGATCGAGGGCAGGTAATACGCACGTGTTTGTTGTTCTAGACCATTTATCCAAGTTCGCCTTCTTCAGACCCATGAGAAAAGCGACTGCGCACGAAGTCATAAAGTACCTGCAGAGCGACGTTTTTCATGTATTCGGCGTTCCCGAAGCAATACACTCCGATAATGGCACACAATTTATATCGGAATCATTTGGAAAGTTTCTACAAGGATATGGGGTAAAACATGTCAAGACTGTGCCGTATGCTCCACAGGCAAATGCGTTGGAGCAAGTAAATCGGTCGCCGCTGGCCATGATCCGCACATATCTGTCGGAAGAGGATCATCGAACTTGGGATCAACATGTATCCCACGCAGCTTTTGCGTTGCGAAGTGCGGTTCACGAAGCGATAGGATTGGAACCGTATAAGGCCATATTTGGGTAAACAATGGTTCAACACGGGAGCACTTACGAGCTGCTCCGTAAACTCTATGCGCTCAAGGAAGATTTAGAAGTGGTTTCCAGAAATGACCGCATGGAACTAATGAGAGAAAAATTGGTTTGTGGCCTCGAGGGAGCGTTCAGGAAAGGACAGCAGTCGTACAATACGAGGGCTCGGGCCGTGAGTTTCCGCGTGGGACAGATCGCCTACCGCAAAAACTTCAAGTTGAGCAACGCGGCGGAGGGGTTTAACGCGGAGCTAGCGTCAAAGTATTTAAGATCGTTGGTGCGGGGAGTGAAAGGGAATTCTCTTTATGCACTCGATGACTCGTCTGGTCGGCCGGTGGGTGTTTATCACGCCAAGAATTTACGCGTTTGAACAGCTTCGTACACATATTAACAAGGTCCGGCTTTTCGAGCGCTTTATCACGGTAGACGTTGCTAAATCGTTCGCCCTGTTGCGGTCACACTAATTTCAAACCGGTTGGTGTTCGCGAATGCGACCCTGAACTGCCTTTCCGAACGCACCCCATTCATATGGAGTTTGACGTTTAGCTTTGTGAGGAGAATTCGCTTAGAAGGAACAATTTCTATCAAGTTCCTTCCTTTTTTCTGCAGCCGCACTAGGAGTTGGACGAAATCCAGAAGCCACTACTAAGTTCGAAGCGAAGAGCAAATTCCGTGAAAAAAGAAAAAAACTACCACGTGGTCGAAAGGTGAGACGACACCAATAACCAAGGAGGACAGATTTTGGCACAGGCAAGTTCTGCAGGTGCAAGTATCGTGTTGGCCGAGCGAGCATTTCTTTCTGGGAGCCGGCGGCAGCGGCTGCCGAAACTTGAAGTTTTTGGCGTGGGATATCACGTGGTTGGTTCCGCAGGTGAGACCTTTTCCCAGCGTCCAGTTTCGTGGCCGGCAACCAAATTTTAGTGAGAGCTTTCAGCGGCCATACCCTGGTCATCCCACCTCCGCATCCGATATACCCTTCTTTCTATGTGATCTAGAATAAGACACGAACACACCATATGTTGCCTAGTTGGCAACTCTATGTTCTATTCATTTTCTTATGTTACTTTGTTTAGTATTCGTTTTCTTATGTTACCTTACTTAGCAACTTTTAAGCTTTGTTCGCTTTGTAATTTATGCAAATCATGTATGTACATACGCATGTAAGCTTCAATTGCATTTATACTTGTTCATTCATTTTCTCTCGTTCATTCTTCTATTGGTCAGAGAGACAGCAGCACCTGACTGCTTAACAAATAAAGTAAGCTGGAAATAAAATACGTTTCTATTTCTGATCAAAGTGGTCCTTTTGAGCCGGATCCAGCATCCAGCTAAGGTATAATCTGGTTACGATTTATACCCAGCATAATTAACCATTTCACTTCTTGAGTGAAATCAACTGACGAGCCTGCTGCGCAGTGTCACGAGCTGTAAATTAGTTGAACCACGTTGCTGGAAACTTCCACCACGTGGCAGGGGTTTGCCAGGAATTGTTTCTTTCGCGGAACAATCTTATTCGTACATCACGACGAGTGGTTGCGCATTACGCTTACGTGAATTTCTGTCACTACATCGTTTAGCACCTCGCCTTTTCTGTTGTATTAGCGTCGGCGTGTGCGAAAACCACTATAATGGCTGAAAGTTGGAAGGAATTGGTACAAATTCGCGGACGTACCAAGGCGCCGATCACACGTGGTCTTGGCTTTGCACAAAATCCTCCACCGGATCATGCGCAGAATGATATACTTACACGAATTGAGCGCTTAAAGGAGGCGTGGGATGAACTCGTTGCAGCCACAAACGCGATGTATCAATTCAGTGAAAGTCCCGAATATTCTGATCCAGACCAAGACTGTGGAGTTTACGATGAAAAGCTGTTGACTGCACGTAGTCTGCTTCGCTCGCTACAGGATTCCTTTACGACTCCAACTCAACAACCAAGTTTGGATGACACCATATATCCACTAGCTGAACAACAGTATGCATTTTTTCATCAGTTTTCTACTACTTCGATTTGCCTAAAATTACCATCCCACCTTTCACCGGCCTGTACAAAGCGTGGCCGCCATTACACTAATACACAAAAGTTTCATCATCTCAAATCGTTGCTAAGGGATGACGCTGCGCAAATTATAAAACACATTCTGGTAACTGAGGCGTCTTACGAAACGGCGTGGAACAGATTAAGCGAACGTTTTGATCGCCCACGCCATATTGTCTCCTCATTTATTGAGAACTTTATGGCACTCTCCTGTGCATCAGGTGAAAATTCTACAATTCTTCGTAAAATATCAGACGGAGCAAACGAGGTTATCAGGGATCTACATGCCATATCCCATGACGATCGCGACTGCTGGCTTCTCCACCTTCTCCTAGCCAAGCTAGACTCAGAGTCCCGACGAAAGTGGATTGAATCTAATAAAAATCTCGAAGCACCTACCATAACCGTATTTTGTAAATTCCTTGATTCTCAATGCGACGAATTAGAATTGGTGCAACGTAAGACGCAACCCACCTGCCTTCGCAACTCTGCAACTCGGGTCCTAGTTGCAACTAACGGGGCCAGGCTGTCATAAATGTAATGGCACAGATCATTATCTCATGAAGTGTCCAGCATTCTTATCCTAGAGCACAGATGACCGGCGAGCGATGGCTAAGGGTAAATTGCTGTGCTTCAATTGTCTGAAGACAGGGCACTCGATATCAACATGCAGTTCTAAATTCAGTTGTAAGGTATTTAATCGACGCCACCACACACTTATACATGGCCAACAGTCAGTCGCAGGTACAGCGTCTCGAGCAGGTCAAGAAAGCTCTTCTGGTTCTAGCGGGATCGAAAATGGTACGCCATGGTCCGTATCTCACATCGCACGCTCATTGACATCGACACCAGCTGACACCCACACAAGTCAGCTATCACCGCTTCGTAAGGGATCGACAGCCTTGCTGCCCACAACCATAGTTAAGGTTCAAACCGCCCACGGTGGTTTTTGATATGGCGAGTACTTCTGGACACCGCATCAGAACTATCGTACATCACCGAGCGCTGTGTCCAGAGGCTTGGCATTCCGCGCTCTGCTGGTCGCATCGCTGTATCTGGTATATCGTCCTCAAAGGGTGAAACCACTAGAGGCTGTTGCTCGCTGGTACTTAAGTCTCTCGCTTCGAACAACGTCTTAAATGTGTCTGCGTATATACTCAGCAACATCACCTCATCTCTTCCTACAAAACTTATTCTTGCATCAGAGGTCGAGCAGCTTAAGCACGTTAGGCTTGTAGATCCAACATTCCAGACACCTGGATCGGTCGACATTCTTTTAGGTGCAACCTATGTCTGAAAGGTGTTCACCTGTAACAAAATGTTGGACTCAAAGGGAAATCCTGTTGCAGTTTCCTCAATTTTTAGATGGGTGGTCACTTTCTGGGAAATTGAGGAACCCTGTCAAACTCAACTAATGGATTCTCACGACATAACCGTAGAAGAGCACTTCCAACGCACGCATACGCGTCATACCGACGGTAAATACATTGTAGAGCTACCATTTAAGATGGAAGCCCCGCGGTTTGCGGAGACATTATCGGGCGCTCTTTCACGTTTTCACGCCGTTGATCGTCGTCTACAGAAAACGAATTCCTTCGACTACAGTACATTAAATTTATGAGGGAATATGAGGCACTGGGCCATATGCGACAGCTAAGGCCTCACGAAGTCGACATTCCTAATGGGCAGGTGTTCTACTTGCCACACCATCCAGTAGTTGGTGAAAAACTTCGGGTGGTGTTCGACGGATCGTTTGCAGACAGCAGTGGAGTTGCTATTAATACCGTTTTGCATATCGGTCCTAGCATTCAGCGCAATTTGTTTTCCGTATTCTTGCGATTCAGGATGCACCAATATGCTTTCTCGGCAGACATTGTAAAGATGTTCCGACAGATATGGGTCGCCGAATATCATCGAAACTACCAAAGGATCTTGTGGAGGGAGAGTCTTGCTGATCCCATAAGACACTTCCACGGTTACGTATGGTACGGCTTGCGCACCATATCTATCTGTCAGGGTACTACAACCATTAGCAGAGGACTATAAGCATCAATTCCCACGCGCAAGCTCAATCGTACGTGATGACTTGTATGTTGACGATGTTCTCACTGGTGCCGACTCCGAACAGGAACTCATTGAAAAGCGGAAGGAGCTTGTGAAAATGCCGGCTGGTGCTGGACTGGAACTCCGAAAGTGGGTATCCAACTGCCGTCGGATATGCAAAGACGATGACGCGCAACACACGCTGGGTAAAGACGCCTCAAAGGTTCTCGGATTGCTATGGAGGGTGAATGACGATATACGCACATACCAAACTCACGCGCCTAGTATGCGCACTTCCAGCAAGAGGCAGGAACTTTCCGACGTATCCCGTATCTTCGATCCTTTAGGATTACTGTCACCAGTGACAGTGCAATTCAAAATTCTATTCCAGGAGTTGTGGTTACACAAGCTAGGCTGGGATGATCCTTTGCCAACGCATCTAGCAGAGCGCTGGCTGAAGTACCAAGCTGATATTCACCATATCACCAGCCTGGCGCCACGACGCACTTGGAGCTCCACGGGTTCTCGGATGCTTCAATAAAGGCGTACGCTGGCGCTGTGTATTGCCGCTTCAAGGGTCCAGATAACACGTTCACTATATCATTGATGGCCACCAAGACACGAGTGGCACCTCTGAAGCAGATCTCGCTGCCATGGTTGGAGCTGTGCGGCGCTCTATTGTTGACACGGCTAATGAAGACAATTCTAAACGTGCTTCCGCATAAATCTATAAGGACATACGCCTGGTGCGACTCAATCGTTGTATTGGCTTGGCTGTCTCATCCTCCGGCAAGGTGGAAAACGTTTGTAGCAAATCGAACTGCCGAGATTTAAGAAACTTTGCCACGCAGCGTTTGGAGCCACGTCGAGCCGAGGGAGAATCCAGCTGATTGCGCGTCAAGGGGATTGGCAGCCTCTGCAATTGTGGAAGGGGCCTCCTTGGCTTGGCGCACTCGTAAGCTGCTGTTTCAAACCAATCACCAAGAACTACACCACATCCCGGAGGCCAATGCTGAGATGAAGGGCAGTGTACTAAGCTTAGTGGCTACGGAATCTCCACTTAGCAGTTTATTTGACGCATTGATGGAACGTTCATCATCATGGCAGCGGCTCGTTCGAGTTACAGCCTATGTTCTACGCTTTATTCACAATGCTCGGAAGACGTCACGCAGGCCTGACGCTAAAACACTTTCGTTCGATGAAACCAAGGAGGCGCGCATCCTTTGGCTACAACAGGCTCAAAGCTGTTTCCAGGAAGACATTAAGCAATTAAAACGAAATGATGAGGTGAGCTCGCATTCAAAGCTTCTGCAGTTAGCTCCGTTCGTTGACGAGTTCGGCCTACTACGGGTAGGTGGGCGGATTCGAAATTCAGAATTGCCAACGGAAACGCAGCACCCGGTTATCCTCCCAAAGGAACATCGTGCAACGCAACTCATACTTATCGACGAGCACATTCGTAATTTACATCCAGGAGTCTCAGCGTTGTTTGTGATAGTGCGGCAGAGGTATTGGATTTTGGGAGCTAGAAACCTGATTCGAAAGATTACGCATAATTGCATCAAATGTTATCGACAGAAGCGCACCTCTACACAGCAATTCTTGGCAGATTTACCGGCGATACGTGTTCGCCAAGCACACCCCTTCCAACATATCGGCGTTGATTACGCTGGGCCGCTAACTTTGAATAAATAATAAATTCATTCGTTGTCTGGCGGACAATCAGCGATAATTCAACTTATTTTCGAAGAATCTCTGATGATGTTTTGTACATTTTATCAGGAAAGGAAGAGAGTAGATATTTGTTGAGCATTGTATTTCACCATAGCTTTTTAATTTTGATAGGTAGAATTAAGACCTTGTAAGTCGCATAGTCTCGCACGGGTGTGCTGTTTTATCAGAACCGTAGCGCTGGTGAGAACAGGTAGGAAGCTATAGAGGAGCGAACATATTTCCGCAGCTCGGGCATTTCCGCGGTTGCGTGGTAGGTTGAGAATTATAGCGGGTGACTTCGTGTTCAGAAACCCTACAGTCTCCGAACCGGTTCACCTTATCATTTGGTGAATCTTATCAATTTGTAATTCTTGCGAGACAGGCCGGATTGGCTCAGTTATGATTACCACATTTTTATAAATGTACTAAAAGTGGTATTTTTCGTGCATGGGTCTTTTGGCCTATTTTGCTAATACCTATAGCGAAATAATGAATCTTGGAAGTTTTTAGTAACTAATACTATTAGTTTATAGAAACTTTTACATACGAAGATTTAGTACTTTTAAAATTTAAAAAAATTTTAATTAGTAAAACTCATTTGTTTAACACCTGGGCACCGTTTTATTAGAATCAATTCTTTGAAATGCTGGCCGGCCAGATGGTTACGGTGTTTATATTTTATTATTTTCATATAAATAGTTGTTCAGTCCTAAAAATAGAGTATAACTTATAAATATTATTCATTAAGTATTTTTGGGCATAAACCAGCATTTACATTTCTCTATCAATTTCTTTATTATTCTAAAATAAAGTATGCAATTTGTGCCTTTGTTTATAACAATCATGGAACTTATTATAAAATTAGTGAACGTTGGTCAGCAAGTAGTCCATTTTATATTTTTTTTTAATTCACACGGCATGAAAAATACAGTTTGCTTATATTAAAAATACGTAGGAATAACAGCATAATGGACATTGTGGCTTGTTTAAAGTTCTTTGAACTATAAACTCTAGTTCTTATATAGAGTCGCACTATTTTTAACCGACTTCCAAAAAAGGAGGAGGTTATCAGTTCGTCGGAATCTTTTTTTTTTTTTTTTTTTTTTTTTT